ATCAGTCTGTGTTAGTAATTTATGCATTGGTTTATTTAGTTTTCATGAGCGTATGTTCTCTTTTCATCAATGTTCACATACAGTCCCCACAGGGGCCCACCACTCCTTATCCTGGGCCACCATCCTGATGTAATATGAGCAACATATGGTCCCGTAACCGCCCACCCCACAAATGGAAAATCTAAGCAAGATTCATGTTGGCAACTGCAATAAAACACATCTCTTACTCATTCACTGATTCCACGATAGTTATGCTACATTGGTGTTATTATATCAAGGCCCTCAGCCCAGTCTCCAAATGTCTGGTCTATCGTTGGTATCTTTATTGCAGTCACTGCCTCTACTTGCAAATGTCGAAAAATGTTCATCTGTTTCTCATCTATGTGAGCAAAGGGCTCTTCTGTGGACGCGAGCTAGTTTTCATGATGTTTTAGAAATGTCTGCAAAGTACATGTCTTTCTTAACGTTCCTATTCGTTTTGTCACATAAATGTGCTTCTAGTGACAGACGTTGCACATATGTAGAGCAATTATGAAATGTGAACTGCTATTTAAAGGATTTCTTTCATATTGAGGATATTTTGTAGAGCATAATGTGTATTTAAAGGAAAATTAACTTCAATGCAAGATAAGCTCAATCAACACCTTTTGTAGCATAGCGTTGATAACCACCAAAAACTAAACTTAAGGTTACTGTGAGTCAATTTCTGGAGGATTTAAAAGCAGAAATTAGAAGCTTATAATCACAATCATTTGTACATGAATTATTCTGCTAACGTGTTTATTAAAACCATCATTTTTACAGCTGTTTATGGGCTTCCAGTGTCATGGCAACTGTTGTAAAATTGGACATAACTTTACAATGTTAGTAAGGGATTTTGTTTCAAACTAAAATCATGCTAACACACATATTGTTTAAATCTCATGGTTACACTATTAAAATAAAAAGCATTTTAACCTTTATGGACTGACCCTATTAACTTCCATTATAGAAACCACACAGTAACCCTGATGTTTGCTTTTTTTTTAACAACAAGAGAAAGTGGAAATAACCTTGTACTGAAGCTAGAATATTTCTTTAAGCATTCATTTATTCCTTTTAGTTTCTTTACACATAAACATAAAACTAGAAGCTAAGTATAAGAATAAATACAAAGTGTCAACAATTGAATGAGATTTCATATTATATAAAAACTAAACAGACATCTTTCAGACTTTAAGTTTCACTTTTTGACCTACTATAAATGATTTGGTTCACATATCAATCAAACTGTGCTGCTGAACTGGGAATTCCTTCTAAACAAATCATGTCTGAAGCACATATTCCAAAATGAGCTATGAGCTTCAACCGCTGGGAACCACCCTTCTGTCTAGAAGCATGATGGCGCAGAATACAGAAGCTATCAGTCAAAAATATCTGCTATATGACGTAAGAGCCACATTGTGTGTTGAAGGGTCTGTCCATCTGCAGTCTAAAATAAACTGCTCTTCTGATATTGTAACCCTCTATTATATTTCAGTAGCTTGACAAAAGAAACAACCTAATGAAAAAGAGTACTTTTCTTTGAAATGGTAACCTTGATGTTTTATGCAGCTAAACATCCTCTATGATAAAGATATCTGTTTTAAAGGGTCGCAAATGTGCATTTCAGATCCCTTACAGAATGTCGAGGCCAGATTCCTGCAGGATTTTGATTCTTCATCGATTTTAATGTGAAAGACTTCATTTGTCTAGTACAGTGCACAAATGTTCAAATCTGCCAAGTCCCCCTTGTGTTTGCTTTTACTACAGTTGTTAACAATGCTGTTGTTTTGTTAATATTAAATGTGCAATGTGATGACAGCTCCCTCAGGATAATATTCAAAACAGCAGGATCAAATTATCCAACTTCTAATTATTCAAGGGATTAAAATGCTTGCAGCTTTTGTGCATAGGCGTAAATACTACAATTTTGTACAATGCTTGTTTTGAGCAGGTGGGTGCAGCTTTTTTTTGTGATGTTAGTTGATATATTCTGAGATTTCCCAAAACATACACAAAACTAATAACAGCCTTACTTTTTCTTTAAAATGTTAAATTCGAACATAGAGATGGGAACATTGGTGTGGAACAGAAGAGAGGAACAACTTACCTGAAGACTCAGAGCAGATGGAATGTGCAAGGAAATAAAAGAGACTAAAGAAAGGGAACTGAATATATAATGTCGGAACAAATTTATAATTTAAGGAAATTACTGACTGTCTACATGAAAGGACAGACTTACTATGTGAAGTGAACAGCTAAGCAGAATGACAAGTGCAGTCATTTCACTATTATACTAGATTTAAAAAAAAAAACTCTTATGATGACGTGAAAGCCATATGAAACAACAACCTGATTTCCTCTGTGGCCTGGGATAATATGAAAGGGCACGGCCAGGCTTTTATCCCTGCCACATAACATTTAACACGAGCAGGCTTGAAACAGTGATCACAGGAATATGGGAAGGATAAATCATTTTGAGTGTTTGCCATGATCTCATCAGGGATGGGTTGTGAATAGGCTACACCCTGAAAACAATATGCAAATCCAAGAGGTACAGATCCTTATTCTTTTGTGCCTGGTTTGAACACCGTCTTCCCTCCCAGTCTGGGAATTTTCAGGAAAGGTATACCACCATGGCAGGAGGTGGTTTACCGGTCACTTTCTTTTATGGGATAAATTTGGTTCTGTTTAGCTCAACAGTCCCTCTAGTGGTTTTTACTGGTAATAAGTTAACAATACGTATATATGTATGCAATAACTGTGAATTGACATGATTAACTATTTATCTGTAAATGAACACCTATCAAAATCTACACAAACATTGGTAAAGAGAGACTTATACTATATTTTTTGTTTGTGACTTTTTAATTGCATTGATTATATGAAAACAATATTTTCGCATTTTATTTTTATTTATTCTATATGCATTATTTACATAAATAATATATTTATGTAAAAAAATTACCATATTATAATTTTTTACATACCCTATTTTTCAGAAAATCAAGTAATTAAATATTAAATCTGAATAATATTCTGTAGTATTCCACAGCTGTCTGTTGATTGGGTTTATTTTAACAGTTCAAGGCACAAATACATAATTTAATCATCTTTATGCTTATATGTCCTTTCCTATTAGGTGACCCCTCACAATTTTATGAATTTGTGAATGAATTTGTTTAATTTTCTAGTCATTTGCAAGCAAATGTGGATGACTGAAAATACATATTGATTTTATTTATATCACAATGCAACTAAAATATTTTCTCAAACCTGCATTTGCATTTACTGATTGTGTGCTGTGTAAACACATAGGTCTATGTACTTGGTACATTACAAATTAATGGAAAACGTATCAAGTACAACAAAGTAGGTAGTGCAAAAATAACTGTTTTTTTTTTTCTTAAGGAACGAATATTCTTTCATATTAAGCCATGGCTTAACAGAGGGTCACGATTTCAAAAGGCCTATACCACAATATGAAAAATTGGGTGGCATAATAGCAAAAAACTCTGTTTGATCATTTGTAACATTTTCTTTTCATATATATACGATTAATGTGTCTCTCGTAAACCTTTCCTGGCACAGATTGTGTTTGTTCATGCACTTTTGTGTCCCACTTCTTTGTGAGGTAAAATCTTTCATGAACTCTAATAGTCCGAATGTATTTACAAATCTAGTGCTAGTCTTAGCCACAAACAGCGAATAACAATTATATAAAGGAATCCAGAATAGCAGCCAAAAAAGTGACTACGTCAAGTAGACTTCAATGTAATGGTGGAAATACTCACGGTGACTCAGCAACAAACTCTGACATTACTGTGTGTTTTCCATCCATTCACACCCAGGGCCGCATTAAGACCTCACTGGGCCCCGGGGCTATGACTTACTGCAGGGCCCCCCGTCACAATAATGATATAGCTTAAAATAGGATTTTTATCCAATCAAAGTTTCATAATTCTTGTTACCAATTCCAATATCTCAAAAAAAAAAAAATTTAATAAAATAAATAAATAAATATAAATATATATATATAACTGGTAACCAAACAGTTTCTGTGCCCCAATGACTTCCATAGTATCCTGTCACCTGTAAGCAGTGAAATTATTTAACAATAATTTACAATTTTATATAATGTCTAAACTCTGAAGAGCAAATGTTTCACTTACACTTGCAGTTAGAAGTGCGCTCATATTATTTATTCATTTTATTTCACTGTGTGATATGGCTATATCTTTTTCAGTTATCAAATCCATTGTAGAAATTAAAATAATAACACTTAATAACACATAATAATACACTTAATAATAAAGCTTAATAACACATTTCTTTTCTAACTACAATAAAAACCTGTGAGCACAGGATTTTTAAGCAAAATTTTATATTAGTTGAAACATCACAAATACTTTATATGGACAATTGTTACACGACAGCTGAACTTGACCTAATAATCATGCATATCTTGGAAAATAATAATAATAATTCATTATAATTTATTATAAATATATATACAAATATTTCATAACAGTTAATACAATATGTACGTTTCGTTTTAACATTTCGTTTAAAAAAAATAAGTATTAATTTGTTGGGTTTAGTTTTTTTTTTTTTTTAGTACATCAGATAATAATAAATGAAATAATCTAAGAAACTTTGTTTTGCATTGTTTATGCTCAGTATCACTGGCCCGCGGTGAAACTGCTTTATTTCATTTTGTATTGATTCAATGTCTTTCCTCAGTGACGTTACTGGATTTTTATTACTTACTTGACATCATTTTCCCTCTATGACACTGGCTTTTAAAATCAAATTTCCATGAGTTTACCAGTAAATTAAATTGGCTGTTGTTAGTTTGACGCTTTTTGAAGAAGATTCGCCATGTGGTACCAGACCGTGTGACGAAGGACGGCTGTAAAATCCTATTTGTGTATTGAAATGCCAGTCATTTTTTACAGTATTCTGATTGGTTCAAACGAAGCACCACCTACTTAAATAATCCAATAACTTCCGCTGACGATTTTTGAATGCAGAGCGGTTAATGTTGGTTTACGACTCATAAGGGCAAAGTAGCAGAAAAATACTTGTCTCAATTTTGAGATAGAAACGTTCGCAAAAAAAACTGCAATTAACAAACTATAATCTGAGATGGATCCTGCTTTGTCGAAGCTTCTTATCGGGCTCGCTGTCAATATAAGTCGTAGTGATGGTAAGATGCTTGTTTGCTAGCTGCTAACGTTAATCTTTTACAGACACAAACTGCATCATGAAATCAGTTGATGTTAAAAATCAAATCAAATTATCGCAAATTAAACTTCATACGTACCATTGCAACACATAGTAGTGATTGCTGGCAGTGGAAGGTTTCTAAAGTGTCAACATTGCACGAAAAAAAAACACTCAAAGAGAAAATCATAAATGTGTGTATCTAAATAAAAAAATATGTAACGTAAATAATGCAAAAAAAAAACAACCTGTCATTTCTCCTTGAAATCCCTATGTCTTGTAGGATTGCTAGTTAATGACTGAAACATACACAATCTAGTTGGCAGGGATCGTTTTAAAAGGATAATTTACCAAATAAATAAAATAAAATACTGTAATTTACACTTAATGTCTTAACTCATGTTCTTCCCATATGATTTAGCTTCTTTTGAAAAACAAAAGGAAATATTGGGCTGAATGACATCCAAAATGTATTGTAAGGAAAACAGAGTTGCAATGAAAGTGAATAACACTGCCTGTTTTCCACCACTGAAGAAGTCAGTCATGAATGATCTCAAAGTTCAACCAAGAGAATGCTGTTTGTTTCCTGTCAATGCAGGAAGAATACACAGTGCCACTGTGAAAACGGCCAATGTCACTAAATCTACAGTGAATGTGGAATGGGCTGAGAAGGGCATTACTAAAGGAAAAGAGGTTGGTACTGAATGTGTTGTAACATGAGACGTTTTCCACTGCATAAAGCAGTTATTAGAATTGTGGCCACAGGTTTTGTTGGTATTTGCATGTGTACAGCCAAAGCTCTAGGATGTCATGCTTCACTAGATTAATAAATCGATTCTCCCCTAGGTTGACATGGATGAGCTTAAGCAACTCAATTCTGACCTTATGCAACACCTTCAACCAAGCCGCCAAGAGAAGCCTGAGTCAGCCCCTGGCCATTTCGCTGCACCCGTGTCAAAACCAGCAAAAGTGAGTCCTGTATTTCTTTTCTAAAATTCTTATTTGTTCAAAATGCACATTTGGTTTTTTCAATTTGATTCAAGTATTGACTATCCACAGTCCACACTGTCGTTTCGCAAAGGATTAAATTGAATCCATTTGTTCAGACAGTGTTTTCAATATCTGGTATGTGCATGTTAGTTACCATGGTAATGCTATAGGCACATCAGCACAATGTCTAGACACCTTCTTCTACAAAAACTGAGAGAAGCTGTCAATGTGACAAAAGAGGAAGACCAGTGGTGCTGAATGAAAAAGGCATATGAGAAAACATAAGCAGTACTTTATTCCAAGCACATTGATGCACTGTATCTGAAATCACCCAGACATTTTTATTGCATACCAATCACATTTGGCAATTTTGAGTTAGCCCCACCCATGTGCATGCTGCCTCAGGGGATTTCATACAAAGACACCCCAAAACTTTGGTGTTTCAGGACCCTTCAGAAATACACACATTTCTGCAGTGTTCAGCCATTTCTTTGGTAAATACACTAATATTATGTCAAATAAGAGATAAATGTATTGTTTTTTTTTGTGTACGAACAAATAGTACTTTATCATTTTCCTTTAAATGTAAAGATGAGTTTTATTAGCTTGCACAAAGCTAATCTCAAGGTCAAACCATTAGCCTTACTGAAAGACAGACTGCCAACGAATTAAACGTGAACTACAAACACTTTTTTATTCATTTTATGTTAAGTTACAAATAAATGCACCATAAATTATGTAGAACATATTATTTTTAATAAATTAACTATTTTTAAAGATGGGCTTAAATGGTACAGTGCCACAAAACATATGCCTACTATAGCTGACACAAGCTAACCTTAAATGAAAAAAAAAATTACATTGAAAATGACTATGATGTATAGTCCACAGTATATTTAAGTTCCATGCATGGTTTTATAAACATATCTTACATTTTAAAAGGAAAGCATTGTCTTTTTTCACCATTACTCACTGTGGTACCATTTAAGCCCACCTTATGTGTTTTAATATATTCACTGTGGAACCATTTAAGCCCACTTTGTTTTTCAATGAGGAATTCCTCTAATTGCAAACTTTGATCAATTTTCTGTGTTGTGTTCTGTGTTGTAGTGTTTAATAACAGTTGTGTGCTTTTACCTTACTAACCTTTTACCTTAACTTACTTATTATGGAGAGACCTACAAATTGCACACTGTTTAGCACCATTATATAATATGTGTATCATTTGTTTTCAGCGAGAAAATGCCGAAAAAGAGAAAAAACTACAGCACCTGTCCAAAAATCATAGAGGCATGTCAACTTTATCATGAGGGCACAATAAAAAACTTGTCTATACTACCAAAACAGTTTAGACAGAAAGTATTTGCGGGAGAGAGAGGTTGAATGCTATTGGTACAGGTGATGAGTGCTAGCAAACATTAGTAAAATATATTTTTTTAAATACTTCGCTCTCACTGAATAAATATATTTGTTTTACTTCTTTCAAATAAATAAATGTTCATATTTTTGTGAATAATTTATGATGTGGGCTTATTTGGAACACATGCGGGCTTAAATGGTGCCGAAGTACCAATTAACCCCATGCCAGACTTTTGACATTATTCATAAAATATTTTAATTTTATATTCTAAAATGTACATAAACTATTTAATAAATTTTCAAATGAGAGATAAATCATTCATTTTAACAAATGATTTTTCTTATAAACAATGTCTATATCTATGAAAAACACCTAAACTTAGATTTTGGTGGGCTTTAATGGGTACACTTAACCTACCTACAACACTGCTCAGAAAATTTCATTGCGTCATTCATAAAGTTGTTTTTTTTTGTTTATTTCAGAACGTCAGAGCATCAGAGCTTCCTTTAAGGTCATCAAGAATACCTACTACTTTAGAACGTAAGTTATGTTTGTTGTACAAATTCATAGTTGGTCTCCTGACCTGCACCAGTGTAAACTTATGCTGTGTCTCCCATTTGAAGCTGGTCCTCAGGATTGTTCGTCTGAAGAGTCAGGTTTGCATGAAGTGCATGCTTTCTTCATGTTCTCCAATCACACACATTATGGTTGAATTATAACACTTAATCAGGGTGTCTCTTCCCACTTCTGTCCACATGATCTTTTCTACAAATTATCTGCTTATAGAAATCAAAAATAGTCTTTAAATTACTGTTTCTGTCAGTCCAGAGAGGTCTCATATGGCAGAGATAGTCATTAGTTCTAGCAGCGATCAAAGCACTGTGGATAATGGTTTCTCACTTTTGGTTTTATGTAGCAATAATTGTTCTTTTCATCCATTTAAAAGTTACTTTCTGTACTGTTTTTCTGCACATTGTCAGATACTATAAGGGTGAGGAGATCATACTGTTGTCCAAATATATTGCGGATTGAAATAGTAATAACAAACATTTTTGGAGATTCTTGTACTGTCCATAGAATCACCTTTGGATTTATTGGCAATGTTGACCATGAAAAGCTCTTTATTCTACTCTATTCTAGTTTTGAATAATAAACATGAATAATAAATCACACTGTATTTCAGAGAGTTCACATAACATAATTTCGTCCCCTTTCAGCTTCTAGTAGGATGACCACACGTCAGACTTGCTTGTTCCGACAGCCTGGCCTTCCACCTGTGGTCTCTGCAATGGCTGCAGAGGAAGTTCTCTCTCACGATCTTCCCTCATCTACGATCCCTAAACCTTCAGGTATGTCTATACAGTACATCAGCATGATATTAAAGGGTTAGTTCACCCAAAAATGAAAATTAGCCCACAAATTACTCACCCTCATGTCATCCTAAGTGTATATTACTTCTTTCAGACGAATCCAGTCGGAGTTATATTAAAAATTGTCTTTGATCTTTCAAGCTGTTTAATGGCACTCAGCGGGTGTTGCATGCATCAGTCCAAAATAAGTTAAATAAAAAGAGAACATCCATAAAAATAAAAAAAAAAGTGTCTCACACGGCTCCGGGGGGTGAACAAAGGCCTCCTGTAGCGAATCGATGCATTTTTTGTAAGAAAAATATCCATATTCAAAACGTAATAATCACTTTAATGTAGCTTGCACCAACAGTCCTACACGGAAGCAGCTCCGGGCGGATGACGTATGAGTTCAGCGTTGGTCATGCGCCGCTCAGAAGTGACGCATGCGGAAGTGCAAGGGAAAGATCAAAACAAAACACCGGTCACTTATTAGAAGTACAAAACGAGGATTTGTAAAGAAGAATGTCAGAGGATTTCGATATAAGCCAAGAGGAGACTGGTTTTCCTTTGCTAAAGTAAGGAAACTTTGCTTCCTTTGATCCTGTAAACAAACGTTGGTTTTCACGAGACTCACCGGCGCATGCGCAACGCTGAACTCATACGTCATCCGCCCGGAACTGCTTCTGTGTACAACTGCTGGCACAAGCTAGATTCAAGTGATTATTACGTTTTGGGATTCGTCTGAAAGAAGAAAGTCATATACACCTAGGATGACTTGGTGAGTAATTTGTGGGTGAACTAACCCTTTAAGATATGCAGTGTAGTATCAAGTTGTTTTGCATTGGAATGAACTGATATTGATGTATCCTGTTTGAGGTGAATGGACTGTCAGCTTTGAGACAGCACAAAATCATTGTCAAAACATCTTGCATATTTCATTAAGTTGCTATCTGTATTGGTAGGTTACCAGAGGAGTCTTGTTTCGAAGCCAGCTTCTCCTCTGCTACCAACCGCTGAGGCTATTTGTGAGAGTGAGGCTTCCAAATGTGCCCCCATGGGTCCACCAAGTATGTACTGTTTTGGTTTTGTCATGCATGCTTTCACATTATTGATGTGGTGGTTAGTAACATCTACAACACTTGACTTATTTTGACTTTTTAACTTTTAGGCCATCGCATGTCTCAGGTCTCAGAAACAAACAAGATAGCAAACAAACGGTTGTCTCTAGCAAGAAATTCTGAAGCACAGAAGAGAGGAAAGGTACCTTAAATAATTATTGTTGTTCAATAACTGAACCATTCAGGTACGTTTACACAACAACGATTCTATTAAAATCTGAAATGTTTTTCCTTTGCCGTTTTAAAAACGTTTCGCTTGCAGACGACTGGTTTCACAATTTTGGTTTTTTTTTTTTTACTGTTATCACAGAGACGATAACAGTATCGTGTTTAAATATAATTACATTTTAAACGGTAATACTAACCGTCAGGTTATTTTATCGTGATTTATCGTGAAGCCGGTAATCGTTCCATCCCTAGTCACATTTATTCTTGTAGTCTTGAAGTCTATGAAATTTGCTCCATCCAATTTTTCTCCATCCAGTTCAATTTTTGTTCCTAGTTTGGAGATACAAGTCGACCTAATAAGCAGTTTTACCAGATGATTGAGGAATACAGAGAGACCCTGGAGAAAGTCCCCATGTCCTTGTCTGATCCTGTGAGTTAATGAGCATAATATTAATATCAACATACCTGTTTTCAGAAGTTTGCTTTTTCAAGCTCCCAAAACATTGTCGTGTAAATGAACAGCTAAAACGCATAAAGTTTTCCGTTTTTAGTTGAAAACGGTATTGTGTAAACGCCCATTCAAGGCATTTTTTCCCCTGCTGCATGGACTTAAATTAACAATCTGATTTATTTATTTCTATTATTTTTGTATGTAGCGTGATATCTTCATTATTTCGTTTTATTTATTATTATAATGTTTATTATTTTATAATTAATAATTATTTAATTTTCTTCTGTATGGTCACATTTAGGGATGTAACGGTATGAAAATTTCATATCACGATTATAGTGACCAAAGTTATCACGATTATCAATATTATCACGATTTTGCTAAAATTAGATGAAAATGTTCAAAAAGAACTGATACACACACTGAAAAAATTTCAATAAGTTTTATATTTGAAAATCAACAAACAACAAATACAATTAGCAGCTATATGCACTTTTTTTAGCATAAACATTAAATTAACATTAACATGAAGCCCTAATAATAATAAAAACGGTAATACTAACCGTCAGGTTATTTTATCGTGATTTATCGTGAAGCCGGTAATCGTTCCATCCCTAGTCACATTTATTCTTGTAGTCTTGAAGTCTATGAAATTTGCTCCATCCAATTTTTCTCCATCCAGTTCAATTTTTGTTCCTAGTTTGGAGATACAAGTCGACCTAATAAGCAGTTTTACCAGATGATTGAGGAATACAGAGAGACCCTGGAGAAAGTCCCCATGTCCTTGTCTGATCCTGTGAGTTAATGAGCATAATATTAATATCAACATACAAGAATTTCATATTTTAACACAAGATGTATCTTTTAGGTCAAACCTCACCGAATATGTGTCTGCGTTCGCAAACGTCCGCTAAATAAAAAAGGTAGGTTGCTGATTTGACCTCTCTTAAAGGCACAATATGAAAGTTTTCGCCGCTAGAGGTCGCATTTTCAAAACCATAACAAAGGCGAAGCTTGATGACGCTATGAAGGAGGATGTTCACGGATGAGGTAATTTTTTTTTTTTATTACCTGTACCTTCCACAGTTATTTAAACCGCAATAAATTATACAGAGAAATCAAGCAAATAACATTTACATTGTCAAAGAACATTATGACTGTCTTTGGTCTAGCGCGAAAAAACTCCCCTTATAATCAGTAAAGCTGTCTATACACGGTTTTATGAATGAATCTCTTTTACATTATACGTACATCCGCACTTTGTTGTTTATGATGAGAGAATTCGTGTGAGAGCTGAATTCAGTCAGCGAGGCGTGCAGTGAACAAAAAACTCATCTGAACGCCTCTGATTGGCCATTGCCTTCATAAGCTCAACGGACTCGTGTGTGATTGGTTATAATGCACAACACTGTAAAAACGTGTTAAAAAATCATGGCGCAACATTGAGCAGATCTAAATTTAATGCTGCGGTCAACACTTTTCATTTTCATTTTCACTTTATTCACGACAGCCGTAATGGATTAGTTTAACTGCAGCAGCATTTGTGTCCATGTGTTGCCATAGTTTCTACAAGCGGAAACTGAGGATATGCGGATATTATGTCATTGATAGGCGACAATGACCAGGGACGAATCATTATTGAAAATTGGAATTTCTATGGATTTACAAATCCTTGGGAACTTTTGGGATAATTTAAGTACACAACTGCATGAAATATATCACACTGTGCAAGTAGTTTTTGGATATTTTATTACGAAAATCTTACATATGGTGCCTTTAATGGAATCTAATTGATTCTTTGTGAGTTTCTTACGCATTTCTCATTTATTTGTGTTTAGAATTGGCAAAGAAAGAGATTGATGTGGTCACAATCCCTGGTAATGGAGCCCTGCTGTTGCATGAGCCCAAGCAGAAAGTGGATCTAACCAAGTACCTAGAGAATCAGACCTTTCATTTTGATTACTCGTTCGATGAAGATGCCACTAATGACTTGGTTTACAGGTAGATGCATGTTTAGAGTTTCTGTTTAGTATTTATTATCATTTATCATGTTGATTACCATCCATGAACATGACAAGTGTTGTTTATTCAAGGATCAGTTTACGATCTAATCTGTCATTTCAAACCTTTTTTTTTTAAATTTCTTATTTTTTGGAGAAACAAACAATGCTTTATTATTTGCATGGAATAGTAACTAGAGATGGAATTTACGTTTTTCCTAAATAATGGAATATTATTTTGTTATAAACATGGCAGTTTATTCAGTATGTATTCAGTATTAATGTTTAATACAGAAAATATTCAAATGGTTATGAATTGAACCTTTAGGTTCACCGCTAAACCTCTGGTTAAGACCGTTTTCGAAGGTGGTATGGCGACGTGCTTCGCATATGGCCAAACAGGCAGTGGAAAGACCCATGTAAGTTGTTTTGTTTGTGCTCCCATAACAAAATTCCCAAACATTTTTCCATGTTCTTCATCTAAAGCGTTATTTACAGACTATGGGTGGAGACTTTTCTGGAAAGAGCCAAAACAGCTCTAAAGGGATTTACGCCCTGGCAGGTGATTGTAACTGTCAAATGTACTTTACATAGTGGCCTGTTATGTTTATCCATGTTTACCTATGGCATTAATCCCTCTGCATACCTCACAGCACAGGATGTATTTACCCTCCTAATGCAAAAGAGATATGCTGATATGGACCTTTGCCCGTATGTCACCTTTTTTGAGATCTACAACGGCAAGGTTTGTACATATTGTATTACATGTTTCCAAAACAATTCTGTAATGTCTTGTCAAACAGGTGAAGTTTTTGCTTTTCTGTCATTTAAGTGCAAATAAACCTCAAATTTCCAAATGCCTAGACTAGTGTACTTTATATGCTCAATGAAACAAGTGTGGTATTAGTATTTGGTTTTATGCTGATTTGAGTTTTGATTGTGGTTGTAAGCATAAAGTACTTGTTCAGGCACAATGGTGAACTGTTTGTGTGCTGCAGGTGTTTGACTTGCTGAATAAGAAAGCAAAGCTGCGTGTTTTGGAGGATGAGAAGCAGCAAGTCAATGTTGTTGGCCTGCAGGAAGTGCCCGTGTCATCTGTTGATGATGTCATCAAGATGATTGAGAGGGGAAGTGCATGCAGGTAAATATTAATCATTAAAACTTAAAAATATTAATAATTTTTAAGTGAACCCTTTAAATGTCATTTGTCTTAAATGACTGTTTATGCTATAGCTCTGTTATTTTAGAATTATGTATATGCTTTTATAGTGTTTTGTAATATTTTATATTCTGTATGGCTTTAATTATTTTATTTGACCTTTAGTTCATTTTAGTAATTTCCGTTAGTTGACTAGGCAACATTTATTCTTATTTCTAAGTTTTTCATCTAATATTTATTTTATTTTAGCCTTATTTCATTTACCAAAAACTTTTTAATAGTTTGAATGAACAATAACAACTGTACCTCACCTTATAACAGAACGTCTGGCCAAACATTTGCCAATGCCAGCTCATCGCGTTCACATGCGGTTTTGCAAGTAATTCTAAGGCGGCGGAATTTTCTCCATGGGAAGTTCTCTCTGGTGGACCTTGCTGGGAATGAGCGTGGCACTGATGTCAGCAATAACGATCGGCACACCATAGTGGAGACCGCAGAGATCAACCGCAGCCTGCTGGCTTTGAAGGTGCTTTATCTACTGTCTAGTGTCTACCTCACCAAATGGGTCATCTCTATATTGGTGTTTCTTTTAAATTCACATTATTTTTTCCAAATTTGATCAAATTACATATACATTTACATTTAGTCATTTAGCAGACGGTTTTATCCAAAGCGACTTGCAAATGAGGACAATGGAAGCAATCAAAATCAACAAAAGAGCAATGATATGCAATTTTTTTTTAAATTATATAATAAAAATGAAACAATAACACTTTACAATAAGGTGTCATTCGTTAACATTACTTAATGTATTAATTAACATGAACGAACAATGAACACTACATTTATTACACTTTATTAATCTTTGTTAATGTTAGTTAATAAAAATACAGTCGTTCATTGTTTGTTCATGTTAGTTCACAGTGCATTAACTAATGTTAACAAACAACTTGTGATTTTAATCAAATGCATTAGTAAATGCTGAAATGAACATTAACTAAAATTAATAAATGCTGTAGAAGTACTGTTCATGCTTGGTTCATGTTAAGTAATGTTGTTAACTAATGAACCTTATTGTAAAGTGTTACCAATAAAACGAATAAGAAAAGAAAAGAAAAAGAATAGAGAAAGCTAGTGTTAGAGGCCTTTTTTCTTTTTTTCTTTTTGTTAATTGTATAATTAATAAAAAGAAAACCAAGAATACAAAAAGATTAGAGAAGCTAGTGTTGGTGTTTTTTTTTTTTTAAGAAAACAAGCAGTTAATAAATGAATAGAATGCAAGTCTAAAAGGGGCATGTTTTTTTTTTAAAGAATAGAATTAGAATAGAGACTGCTAGAGTTATAAGGTCAAATAAAGATGGAAGAGATGTTTTTTGCCGATTCTTGAAGATGGCTAATGCTGAGTTCACACTGCGTGATTTTAGCCCTGATTTTCACTCGCCGACAGGTTTTGCGAAATCGCCAACAAATGCCCGAAATCGAAGGGAAATCGGTGCTCGTTCACGCGAGTGACAATCACGCAGTGTGAATTATCAAAGACGCGATCTGAGAGAATCCTGCTGTGTGAAATGAGTTCTGACTAGGCATGGGCCGATTACCGGTTTCAAGGTATACCGCGATTTGAAAAATTCACTGTTTCAAAACCGCTAATATTTTCCGTTATACTGTTTCTGCGGTATGCGCTGTTTTTCATGACTCCTCAAAGACTGAAAGTGTAGGAATCCCTCAGGTTGAGTGCAGTGTAGAGAGTAACACGAGCCTCCTCCTCCTGTTGGTGCGAGCGAGCTGTCAGTCACGTGTGTGTAGGACAGCCGAACTTAAGGAGCTTCCCCTGGAACTTATGCGATCGGCAACCGGCTGTTTATTGTCTTATTGCAAGCAACTCGTCTCTGTTCTGGACTTGCACAAACTGCGTTGCAATGCAATCGTTTTCCAAAATGTAATTTATGTGAAAATATGAAGTCTGTAAACGCCCGTTAACACAGGCCAGAGACGAGATCACTCATTGTTGATGATGCACAAACTATTGGAAGAAAATCCTCAATATTGATTTGGGGGTTTATATGAATGTGTTTCTGAGGGGAACTGACTGCCTTCAGAAAAGTTTACGTGGTATTTTCTTTTAATCTCGTCTCTGTATAGTTCATATTAAAGCAGTGTTTCAGCGCAGCGCTGCTTTGTTTACAGCGGTAACCAAGGAAACGCCATATCTAGTGTTCCAGAAGCACCTCCCCGCTGTCAGAGAGTGATTCTGCATCTCATTCAGAGCTTCTGCTGTTTGCTTCGTTCAGGCATGTAGTATAATTTCACAAAGCTAGTCAGAACATTCTGTTTTTGCTTCAAATTGGGTTATTATTAAATCAAATTATGTATATGAAATGATATAACTAAATGATATGAAATGATATAAATGATAGGTATATGAATTATATAAATTAAATAACTGTAATTACAGATTTAGGTTAAATATGTCAGTCTTTATTTTTCTTCTTTTTAGGAAACAAATCAAAGAAAAAATAAACACATTTTACTGTTCCTAATATTCTGTATGTTGCTCAAAAACAATATATTGTGTTCAGCAGAACAGTTTTTTACAGTCATTTAAAAATAACACATTTTAGACCTGTAATAACAATACCGTGAAACCGTGATATTTTTGCTTAAGGTTATCATACCGTCAAAATCTCATACCGGCCCATGCCTAGTTCTGACTGAAACATACATCGGCGATGACCTACAGCCAATGAGAGAGCAAGATACAGGGCAGCGGGACGTTCGGGGAGGACTTTTTTTTCTTTTTCTTTTTTTTCTTATTATTAAGCAGTTAGCCATGTACAAGCAACATGGCAATATCAGTACATTTTTGCATTAGAAATTAGAATATAGCTACAGAACAGGTGCATGAAGAAATATATACAGTGGGTACGGAAAGTATTCAGACCCCCTTAAATTTTTCACTCTTTGTT